CTGTATAGAATATAGAACAGTGCCACAAGTCTCTAAACTACTCTAAAAGGCATGATTAACCATAACTTCAGCGCAGCACTGCAGCTCCCTTAACTAATATCAGTAATTTAGTCCATATTAAGAGCTCAGTATTAAATGTGACAAGCTAACTTGCCTTAAGTGCTTTCACCAAACTGAGGGATGGGTAAGTAATGTGGATATCAAGTGCTCTAGAGAATCTCCTCTTAAAAATTCATGACATTGAGCGCGATGATATCCGGCGCCACAGAATCTTTTGATTGGTCAAAAACATGCCATTGGTTTTTTTAATCCTCCAAGAAAGTGAATATCCTCATTAAGTCTGCATTTCAATTTTAAAAACATGACAAGGACTTTATCTTCCTGTTTGATATGTGAGCGCAGTCAACATTTCATTTATTTGAGTTTCCAATTTGACTGCAGGCAACTAAATATAGCTGAGTAGGCTGAAGTATGGCGGAGGAGATTATGACCGTAGTCAGCGGAGAATACAGAAAAGCACCTAATGTGCTGCAAGGCTTTGAAATAACTGGCATGCCAATTATACCACAGAGTTTAGTGAAAGTACAGTGCTGTGCTGCACGATGTTAAATGATGCAGATTAGAGGTGATGAAGTGTGTTTTCATTTGAGATAGAAGCTGTACAGGATCAATGGTGAAATAGTTAGGGATGGTGGTCCTACAAAGAGTTAATACAACGGGTAGCTTTTATGACGGAGAGCTGAGCTGGAGGAGAGATGAAGACATCCATTTTTCACCCAGGGGCCATTACTGCTACTATCTTACTGGGTATCTGATCTGAGGAGATACACCTGAGAGACAAAGCCATGCATTTATCAGCACCATTAGTCACTGGATGAGCGTGTGCATCTGAAAGCTGGAGCCTCGTACTGACACTCGGGTGCATTCACAGCTGTCAGAGTCAGCGTGGACACAAAACGTTTCTACCAGACAAGATCACTTAGACTTCACAGGCTTATCTCAGCTTGGCCTTTGCCCCATCTTAACTTGCACCCACACCACCATTTGGCCTGAATACAGGACTACCCTGATTACAGGGTGACTCCCCACCTCCCCGTCCGCTCTCCTGACGGTTAGCATTGTTTTTTAACTCACGATCTTTGACAGCAGTAATTCTTGGCCGTTTGACAGATTTTTTTTTCTTGCTTCACTTCTGCAGCTGCTATGAGCTTTTTTTCACTCATCATGCATTGATTCAGTCCATGGCAACTCAACGTCTGCAGTCTGGGCTAACCAAACACTGTGTGTTATGAATAATGAACCAATTTACTGTCTGTTCTGCTAGTTCATCATTTAAGCTTTGACTTAAAGACTACACTGGAGAAATGGCCGTGTACCCACTAAGATCAGGATACATCCTGTGGGGAGGACAGCTGTAATCAGAAGTTTTCATGGCAATGTCCCCCTTTTGTTCTATTGGAAGGAAGGTTTGGTCTGACGTTGGCAGCAGAGGTAAAGACTGTGATCACTGAAATGTACAGGATTCATCTTCAAGGGGTCCTGAATATACAAGAAGTATTCATGGATCATCCAACCATCACTTTGTCCTGGACCATTGTTTTGGACAAGTAAAAATGTTGGCCTTTCAGTGGAACTTCTGTGAAGAAAAGTCTGGTAATTGTCAAACAAAATACCCTTTGTAGGCCATAGACCACCATTTAAATATATATATATATAAAAATTAGATATCTGAACTAATTGTTGGAATGACAGATTGGCTAAAATGCTTAACAGAATCATACCAGAGGATCGACAGACTGCCCAGATGCCATTACATTAATATCACTGTTATCAAAGCTGTGTCATTCTTCTGCTATTTGGGGTAAAATTCTGAAATCTGGAAGTATATAGGAGTATTTATTAAGATGGCAAAAGAGAAAACATGTTAGACCTGGACAATGAGAAGCATCTTTACATAGCATAGTTTAAATAGAGACAGGTGATGGGACAGGGCCCTGTAGAGCTACAGGATGGATGACTGAATGTTTGAGAGTAGCTAATCTTACAAAGACAGATTATTCTCTAGCGCTGTCACGGCGCTGTGTAGAATAGTCTGTAGCACGTCGTCGTCATGCTGCTATAAGAGGAAACTGCTCTGACATGTTCGGATGTCTTTAAACCAATCACAGTAACTTTGGGGCGGGCTTAGAACAGGAGGCACCAATGGTGTTCACTCATGATAGAGACAAGGGAATTGTCTCTGTGGAATATTGGCATGCAAGGAGGTGGGCACTGTCATTAAAATGGATGATTCACCAAAAACAGCTAGCTGGGCTGACACAGTATTGACCTTCTGCAAAACCTGAAATTTTCAGCATATAAGTTGCTAAACCAGAGGTTTTAGTTGATGTTTAGTTGATGTAGATTTTTAAAACTGTAACACATAGATAGAGGGAGGAGAGGACAAAGCTGCATGACATGTGTGGACAATGGCAGACTTATGACTGCAATCTGTATCCAGTGAATCAAAGTAGAGACTCCCTGAATAGTCCCATCAGGATGAGGTGGTGATGTTTGCACTATGAGGTACAATTTTAAGACATTAGCAAACGTTTGTTTTTCCAAAAGATTTGTTCTGTGTTGAGGGACAGCTTTAATTACATCCATAGAGCAGTATCTCTATGAAAGTGTCTCATCTTTACAAATGCAGCGCGACAGTCTGAGCAGAAGTCGTGAAGGAACTCTGTGAAAACAACATGCCCCCCACAGAAAACAAAATGAACCTACAACTACAGGAAAAGAAAAAGTTAGAACTAGAGTTGTTCTCTTTTGTGAAAACAACTAGTTTAGATGTGCCTTCCGTGACCTTGGTAGCAGAGATAAAGCTGTCCCCGTGTGGTAGTTTTAATCCCACTCAGGGACCTTCAACTTTCTTTTTCTCACATTAGCCCATTGTCTTTCTACTCGACTCGGGGCAAAAAACTTTGAGCTGGTTCAATTTGTCAGGCCAAGTTGGCAGGCCATTTAAATTGGTTGGACGTAGAGGCATATATCAGACAAGACACCCAGAGAATAATAGCTGTGATTCATGCCACCAACTCTCTTCCTCCGTCTCACATTCTCACTTTCTTTATCTCTGTTTTTCCGGCTCTCCTCGCCGTTGCTTCCCTCTCTGCTCGTGTTCATTCAAGCCACTCGTCGCTGCCTCTCGTTCTCATCCTCCCACTGTTTAATGGTCCTAACGGAGAGAGTGTGTCATTAAGGGAGTGAAGATAGGGTCTGCTTGATGAGATGGGGGGTGCTGGGTGATTGGCTGGCTGGAATCTTGGATTGTTGTGAAGAAAGATTGATTCTTCAAGATTAGCAACTCTTGGGTCATTTTGGTAACAATGCACATACACACACACATCCGCCTGCACACAACCAATTATTTTAACAGAATGAACTAATTTAACCAAGGGCACATTTGATACCCTGCACTTTTGTAGTTTAGCCGCAGTTATCGTTTACTCCTTCGTTTTGTCTTCAAGTGACAGTGTTACTTTCATCCATGCATTTTTTGCCCCTTATTGAGCTCAGCCTTTAGCATGCATTAAGAGCATTTGCAAGGAGAAATCCAGTCTTTAGGTCATCAAACTGAAGAATAGTCTACAAAACAAATGTAGACTGAATGGGTAAATTCACATAATTCCTCTCGTAAAGTGGGAATAGCTGCTCAGTAACCCAGTAACTCCTCCTGGATCTGGGTTTTATTAGTCACCCTTAAGCCAGATGCACACATGGACAGCCGCAGACATGCATAGATGTGTAGCTATTGCCACTACTTCTCTATGCAACTGAGCGTTCACTTGGAACACTCAGCTGCATAAATGCCCAGAAGGTCTTATCTATGTATTCTAAGCATGCATTCTGGTTTTGGGCTGCATGTAGATGCGTGCAGAGGAGAGGAGATGCTGATATTTACATCACAGACCCGAGTGAACCATTGCATGCCTATGGACATGGATGGCATAAGTCATCCTGAGCTACTCACACCACAGCGGTCTTGCACTGTGCTCAGATTGGCTTTGGATGGTGCAGAACTTAATGGCTCCACTTTAGCCAAAGTGATAATGTTGACAGCAGGAGATCGTTCCATTTCAGACAAAGTGTTCTGCAACAAACCATCACGCTGAACACCAAGTACACCATCATGAAGAGCCAGGTCTTAGAACTAAGAGCAAATTAAACCCTATAAAAAAGCAAACCGTGGAAGGGGATCTTACTTGTGAGTACCTTGTATCCCGGCTAGCACCCCTATGGCCTGGTTGGGTTTAGGTTAATGAGGCAACACAACATGTGGGCCCCACAGTACCTGCACATCCAGACGTAGAGCTGTGGCGTAATGTGTAAAAAGCAGCATGGGCCTGCTTTGACGTGGAGAAATGTGACTGTGTAAAATATTTCATCTTGAATTTTTTCTTTCGAGCTAACAGACGACCCTTCTGGAGATATGTTTCCCTCTAAGGTTTTGGAAATATGACGTTTTTGTGCCTTGTATCATTTTTTTAAGTTGAGGAACTGAAGGAGAAAATTGTCTAGTTTAAGTGTGAAAGTTTTTTTTTTTTTCCTTTTAAACTTTGACAACACAGGATTAAGTGTTCAAGAAGAAAGATGCTGGCCCCTGACAGTCAGCAGTTCCTCATGCCGGGAAAGTCGAGCATAAAATGAACTGAGGGCAAGCTTCACTCTGGACTGATGCCCACATTCACTCACTTTATTATTTGTTTTCAAGTCCGTGATGCTTAGCTGCAGTTAGGTGGCTGACCGCTGGCTCTACCTGCCTGCTGACGGTATTTGTCACTGTGTGGAATATTTGTTAGGAAGTCCACCATATATCTGTGGCTTTGCTTCAATGTGATGCTGTTTTTTGTCATCATGGTCAAACAGTTTTTAGGTGCTGTATGTTTATGTGTATAGGTGAAATGTCTGACTGACTCTCTCTCTGTGTTTGTCCCTCTATGTCTCTCGCCCTGTGGCAGGCCGGCTCCAAAGGCTTCACCAGAGCAGGGAAGCAGCAGTGAGAAGAAGGAACGTCCCATGAGCACCATGAGTGAGGCTTCCAACTACACCGGGGGCTCTGATTACAGCACCTTCCCTGGCAGCCCTGCCACCACCATCACTACTGCCACCACCACCTCCACCTCATCCACACGGGTCCGTCTTTATCACAACACTTCGGCACTCCGATGAGCAGTTTGCTCAGCCTTCCAAGTCTAGGATCAAAATAGCTCAGCCGATAGTTGTATGTGTGACCTTATCCGTCATCTTTAGCAGACAGGTTAAATAATATGGGCATGGCTGGTGGGCTAAAGGGTGGTGTGTTTTTAGTCAGAGAGTCATAAGTGAGGAGTCCTTTGTTTTGTTATTTAGCCACCTTCTACCAATGTGTTACAAGGCGTCTTTCAGTTCGTCATTCCACCCTTTTTTGTGTGGACTGGAAACTTGGACAAGTTGGGATGGATTGCCATAAGTTTATAGACCTTCAGTGTCCCAGGAGAAAACATTCTACAGGCTTACATGATCCGTGAACTTCTTCCTCAGCAGCTCGAGAAGTTTGACATTTTGGATTTTGAAAAAGATATCAGGTGCCATCTACAGTGATTATGGTACCCACTGAATAAATCCTCGCGACTTTACCACATCTATGAGTTTTCATCTAGGGCCACCAGCAGTTCAGCGTCTCAGTGATAGCAGTAATACACACCCATCAGCCACTACATTAAAACTACTCGCTCAATCCGTTCCCTTCACATGACTAAAACAGCTCTGACCTGTCAGAGGATGATCACAGAACTTTTGGGGGATCCTTGTGCTGTCTGGCACCGGGATGTTAGCAGCAGATCCTTCTGGTTCTGTAGGTGGAGGGTTAGTCTGGCACAGGCTATGGATGCAGGTTGCAACCTTGGGATTTTGGAGGCCTTGGGCTGCTTCTGAGCAGTTTGTGTGGTGTGGCACTGTCCTGCTGGGGAGGGACGCTGCTGTATGGGAAGGCTGTTTCCATAGAACGCAGCAGCATTTTCAGTAACATCAACACAATTGCCACAACCCAAGGTTTACCAGCAGAATATCGGACCAAGATCAAATTTTTACACACATCGGTGCAGATGTTCCAGGTGCTTGTGCTGGAGGTCAACCTCAGGCCATTTGCAACCGTAGCATGCTGCGCTGTCACTGACTGTCCTGGAATGTGTCCACATTTGGTCACTACGTCTTATTTCAGCCTGGAGCAGTGAGAGTACGGGGGCGGCGAACTCAGCTGCGTGTCAGCTTCACTGTGCTGGTAGGCTGAACCGCGTGTCCCTTTGTAAATGGTTAATAAAGCACACAAACGCACAGGAAATAAATATGCATGCTCAGATCAAATCAGAATTTCAGTACTCCCATGAATAAGTGATGCAGTACTTCTTCTTACACTGGCCAAATGAAAGTACAACAGCGCATGTCTTCCTGCATTCATGAGATGTCATTATTTATGACTGAGTTGTATGGGTCGTGACTGTGCGTCGCCTCAGAAGCAGTTTTATAAGAGCAACTGCCTGTAAAAGAGGCGTTTTAGAAACAAGGTCAAACACATAAAGAAGCAGATTATATTTTAACTATATACAGGTTGATGTGAGGGTTTTGGGGCTCTTTTCTGTTTTTAAAATATCACTATCTGATCTAACCAACTTGTTTCTAGCGAAGGGAAATGTTTATGCTACCGCGATATGTCAGAACAGTGAGTCAGTTTAAACTTAAATCTCTGTGTGTTGCTCGGCTGCAAATTGTGTCGTGGGCCATGCTCCATCTAATTTTGAGGTGTTTATTGTGAACTGTGGTCCTTAAGGGTGCAAAATGAATTCCAGTTTAAGCTGACAGTAAAGCAAAGCTTGTATCATGTTGTATTGTAAAACCAGGCCATGAGCTAATGGCTTTCACAGTGTTGCCACTCAACATTTGGCCACTAGACATCCACTGATTCTGATTCTGATGATTCTGGTCTTCCACTATAGGAACGTACCAGCCTGTAACTAAACCTGTAGCTGTTGTACTGGGTTCTGCCTTTGTTGAGCTACTTTAACGCTGTCCATACATGGATGAGGACTTTTTGGACACACACACACATACAGATGTTGATGTCCGTCCAGCTGTTGCCTTTTCAGAGGCGTACATCCGGTCAAGCAGGTTCAGCATCATTAAGGTCCTGTTAAGCAACTTAAAAGCCCAAAAGTCGTTTAGCTTTGATATGGGGCCGTATAAAGCACTGAAGACTGATAACTAACACTGTGTGGACTTGAAAGAGAGCAAAAACACCTTCTAGCACTTTGCTTCTGTACTGCACAGTGTAACATATTCCAGAAAGTAGTGCAGGTCATTTCTTAACAATGCAAACTCTCATACATCCATCTGAAGCACCTACTCAGAGAGGGGTCCAGATGTCACTCTGTCTTTAGATCTAGAGTATGTTAGACAGAACAGTAGATCAAACAAAAGTGATAATGTGCAGGGCAACACATATAATACACTTTAATAGATGCAGACATAATAGCTGAATGTAGCTGTCAGTCCAATAGTAATGTTTCCCTCATTGACTTAAATATAGATCTAACCAAAGGGCTCTTTTGCTGTCGACTTTCAAAAGGGATTTTTATGCTGCGTTTCCACTAAGTGAGCCATGATGTATGGGGGATGTGGAGTATGCTTTGTTTAATGAGCTGAATACATCTGCCTCTGTTGTTGCTTTTTATAGCTGCTGGGAACGCGGCTGTTTATGTATACGGACTTCTTTACAACCAATGCACCAAACACTTGTCACATCAGGTTGTTGTGTTGAGATCAGGGAAGAGAAGCAGATATTTTTCTCTTATTCTTCTCCTGCTCTGTATCCGTGGAGCGCTGTGTTCTCTCTGTGGGAGACGTAAGACTTCAAACATGACATGAGCTTTTTTTTTTTTGTATGTTTTTGTGAGTTGTCTTGTGTGACTTATTCAATTAAAAATGTTCATTTCAATATCTGTAATAAAAATGTTTTCTTCTGTCGTGCTGAGTTTACCATCGAGTTCTAGACAATTAGCATTAACTCGTGTGTCTCCACAGCCTTCTAGGTCTTCCAAAAAAGTCCACAACTTTGGCAAGAGGTCCAATTCCATCAAGAGGAACCCCAATGCTCCGGTGGTCAAGAGCAACTGGCTTTACAAGCAGGTACATTGTGACATTAATAACAAGGCATTTTTTAGCTAAATGAAAAGACGGTTCTGTCCGACTTTAGTGATTGTAAAATCTTAATTCTAAATATGTATATGGGTATGAAAAATGTTGGTATGAAGATATGAATGCCATAGTGGTTGTTGTAATGTATTAGGTTCAAATTTCAGAGTTGATTTTAGTTCCATCAGATAAACATAGAAGCCAGTGGATGCCAGCTGGGTGGGATTAACAGATTCAGAAATCTAAAATGTCACAGGCTTAGAGAATAGTGGCTATGAAAAATGTATTTATTATTTAAAAGCATGCAAATGGTTCTTCAGTTTATTCGTCGTTTATTCCCCCCATCAGCCCCTCAGCCTTTCTGTTCCATTGCCACTCAGGATGCAACAGCTTCAACTGTGACAATAACTCGGAGTGTGCCAAAGCCACAACAAACGGTAGCTGCTAGACCTAACTCTAGTTAATAGGTAGAAATATGAATCCCACCCTTAATACTAGAAGACTGAAGGGTTTGTTATGTTAGCCTATGATGTGTTTTCCGTAGCTGGTGTTAGAGAGGAGATGACTGCTTCTCAACAAGGATGTTCACGAAACAGAACAAATGCACTTGTCCTCTCCAGAAGTACCTAGCCTAAAGTCTGTACTTTTTTCTCTTCTAAAAATGTCCCTAAAAGAAGTTCTACAGGCATGGTTCTTGCATATGCAGAACGGTTCGGGCACACAGGTTCCTGCTGTGGAGGTCTTTGTAAGGTTTGACTGTCAGCCATACCCAGCAAGATTACACCTGCTTCCACTTTGCTGAATCACCGCATCTGTGATGTGGCTGATTAGTCTTGATATCCTCTCCCTCTGTAGCTAAGTAGCTACCAGACTACATCTATTTAAATAAAATGTGGGCGTGTTGCTATAAGCCAACCGACAATAACAACATAAAATATCAAAATTCTTAAATTGACATATGTCTTTAAATGTTGTTGAGTTGCCGCTTTGCTTTGGGGATGTAACGATGCAGAAGAAGTCAAGTTAGGCCAAACGTGTCGTACAGCTGCTTAGCATTTTTGCCATCTCACCAGTTCTTGCTATGTTTCTTTTTTACAAGCGTCTGGTGAGAGCGCCGACAGTAAACTGATTCTAGCGCCTCATTTGGGTGGTAGCGGCCCTCAGATTTGCTGTGGTTACTGAGTAAAGCAGCAGCTTTTTGTGAAGTCTGCAAACCTTTTCTTTGTTGGGAACTTCACTGGAATGATCTGTGGTGAAGAGGTCGCTGCTTCTCAGATGCTCCGTGTTGTGATTGTGTGATTAGCAAGGCTTTACATGTCAGGTTTTTCTTCTGTTTTTACTCGTTGACCTGGTTTACTTTGAGGTCAGCAGTGCAACTATAGGCCAAGCTGTTAGTGAATTTAAAGAAGGCACGCTACTGTGCTCCACTGGGAGGCTAAATTTTGCATTCAAACGGCTTTTTCAAATTCCCACTTTTTAAATTCTCCATCTTCTGTTGTCAGATGTTGGAATTTTCCATATTAAGTGACACCCTATCCCCTATGAAGCTGACGGCTACGAGCAGGTGTTTTAAACAAGAAGGGCTCCACGGACATGAGCACAATGTCAGGCTGTGGTCAAACAAAATGGCATCTGAGCTTTTTTTGTCTGACTGAGTAAAATGTACTGCTCTTCTGGTATTTCCAACAATCTCAACTCATCCGTGGGAAACACTGAATTCCAGAATTCGGAGGAGATGGGAGGGTCCTGGTCCTGCTGCGGGGCTTCACTGGACGTCAGCTAACCTAGATTGAGGCTCAGCTTGTTCTTCATTACTTTTCCACCCACTCGCTGCGAGATGAGCAATACTTTCAGCCCATCGAGCTCCAAAGTGGGTCAATGCTTGGTCAGTGGACCTCTGACCGGCGCGGGCCCCTCTGAAAACGGCCTCACCGAGCACTATTCCGCTCGGCCCAGCTAGAGCTGCTGTCAATAACCTCCTCTCAGCCTCACATCCTGTGCCTCTGCTCGCTGTTTTCCCATTGAGACAAGAATCACTTCACTTCACACCAACAAACCCTCCCTTTGTCTTGCCCATCGACCTGTCAGGCAAAATGCCCCCTCGCTGAAGAAATGTCTCCAGTATTTACCCAGAGCTCCTAACCTCAGGATCTATGGCAGAACGTGACACATTTTAAACGGCGCTTTAGACCGCGGAGAGTGAATGGTCTTGGAAAACTTGTTATTGTTGCTGCTGTCATTACGGCGCTGGGGAGGAGGAGGAAAAAAGAAGCGGAGCAGCAGTGTAGAGAACAAAGCGTAGGCATTCGCCCTGAGCACCAAAGAGGCAAATTTGTCACTGCGTTATGAAGAGATAAAACACAGCAATTTGTTTCAGAGGAGGAGATAGAAGCTGCTTAATAGAAACAGCTGGAGGGAGAGGCTGCAATGGTGAGAAGAGGAAGGAAGTGAGGGGAGATCAAAAGAGAGAAGAGAAAACACAGAATATGTTCGTGTGACAGAGAGAGTGTATTGTTGTCTGCATTCACTGCACTGTGACTGACTGACGGTGTGACCTCTGACCCCTGCAGGACAGCACGGGCATGAAGCTGTGGAAGAAGAGGTGGTTTGTTTTGTCGGACATGTGCCTCTTCTATTACCGCGGTGAGCACACACACACACACACACACACACACACACACACACAAATACAATCATATTTTAATTTAGGCTTCAGGCTGTTTAATTAAAACCATTTAATTGGCAAATCAAAAGCTATTTCCTGTGAGAGAGCAGGTAGAGTCTATCGTTGTTCATGTACTTTGAAACAAAACATTCATCGACTCTTCACCACGTTATTGCAAACACACAGACAAGATGAAGAAAACATAGTAAAGAAGGCCGGAGACATAACATATCAAGATACAAATCTGCAGATCTTCCCGATCAGTTTCTGTAACTCTGGTTGTTGAAAGGTAATGAAAAAATGTACATCCCTGTACAAAGGTTTTAGACATTTAGACTTTCATGGTCTTATTCATCACACACTGCTGTGAAGGTCTGATTTGATCTGGGTTTTTGTCAGGACGTTCCAAAATAATACCATGAACAGCTTTTATTTCATCGAATACAAAGTGTTAAATTTACATCACGTGTAACAACAACTGCACCACTTCTCCTTGGTGCATGTGGACACTTTTCAGAAGGCTGTGGAGCATCTAAAGGACTTGACACAGTCTGACTCCATGATGTTGCCATCAGTGGTCACACTGTTGTTACACGACTCCTACTTCTTCTTGAAACTGAGGATTATTATGCAGCTCAGTGCAAGATTACAGTATGTAATGCCCCCTACTCCTCAGCCCCATGCAAATGCATGAAAGAATGCAAATACATGGTGTAAGCTAAGCTTATCCTTACAAAAATGAACTAATGCACAATTTGACAACACAACCAAATCAACAGCTTGACAACTCAAATATTGACTGATGAGCCAAAACACTGTGGCAGTCTGCCTAATATGCTGTTGGTCCTCTGTGTGCCGTCCAAACAGCTTCAGCTGACCAGAGCCTGGACTGTCGGACCTTTGAATGTGCACTGTGATATCTGGCAACAGATCTGTTAAGTCCTGTGAGTTGTGAGTTGGAGTGTAATGGATCAAGCTTGTTGCAGCACATACTCCAACACTGTGTTACCCCTTCATGGTTTGTCCATGTCCAGACCACTGTCACTAGGTACTCCCCACTGACAGCCTTACAAGCCTTTTGGTTTGTGTGATGGTCTGACCCAGTCGTCTGCCCATAATGATGTGGTCTTTGTCACAGGATCTCAGCTCATTTCTCCCACGAACAACATGTTGAGTGTGAGACGATATCCCAATATATATCTCAGAACTTGACATACACCTTTGCCATGAGATCTTCTGTTCCTCTGTGAGTTTGCCTGCTGGCTGATTGGGTGATTGTTAGGAATGTAAGCAGCTAAAGCGTGTGATGCTTTTGCACAGTTTTGTAAATACAGGCAGGTGATGCAGTCACTTTGTGCTGCAGAGAACTTCATTTTGCTATGACATTGATTCTCCAAGCTCTTTGGAACTCTGCTGAATGGGATGGAGCCCCATTCTTCCAAAAGATGTTCCCTCATTCAGTGTTTTGATGGTGGTGCTGCAAAGTGTCGTCTAACAGTTAGTTAAGTCTCCCATAGGTGCTCAGTCGGTTTGAAAGCAGGTGACTGTGAAGGCCACAGCATATAATTCACTAATTTCATCAAACCATTCAGTGAGGCCTTGTGTCCTATGGATAGAGGCATTATCATCTTGGAACAGGATCAGGATGGAAACGTTTCATCATAGGATAAAGGTGATCACCAAGAACAACGCTGTACTGATTTGCAGTGACTCCTCAATCTGGACCCCAACCAAGGCAGCAAAATGCCCCCCACAGGACAACAGAGAGACCAGGTCTTCTCATTGGAGAGGTCAAGGGTTTCATTTGTCACCGTTTGAATACTTTCTCCCTCATGGTATCTCTTCATGCTTTAAATCTGAAATGTTTCCCATTGAAAATGCTCCCTTTGTGATAGCAGTGAAGATCACACAGCTTCAACAAGGTGATGTAACCAGCAGATAACCAAAATGTGACACTGTTAGGGAAATGCTGTTTTTATCATTTAATTACGATCAGTGTGCAAGTTAGAGTCAGGGTTCAGGAGGTCAAGTGTCCTTGTCAGTTTGAAGTGGCCGTCCTTGCTTTCACCCACATTCGCGACACCCACGCTGCAGCACCACTAATTTAGAACTTTGCGTTCACAAAAGCTCATCTGTTCCTCCTTCGTATCTCTAAACCCTTGAGAAGGATTTTTCCATCCCCATAAATTGACAAATTAGCTGCTCCCAGAGCGCAATCAGCCACCGCTTTCATGACAAACCCAGGGGAGAATTGGATGTTTATTGGCTTAGCCAGCCGGAGACGAGCGAGAGGAGGCGTCCTCGGGAAGGACAATGACGTGCTCGGCTTTCTGATAATAACCTCGTCTTTTTCCATTTTTCTCCTGCATGCTCTGTCACTTTGTTCAAAGTACCTTCTGTCGCTCAGGTTGTTAGGTGTCTGCTAGATGAATCCACTCACTGCGTTTACATAAACACGCATACGTCTGGTGTTACCAGAGTGAGGCGATGCACTAATGATTACAGTGAACATCCAAAGCAGGTTATCTTGTTTATCACAATGTGCTGAAGTACAGCTTGATCAGCAGAGCTGGATTCATCCCCAATGATTAGAAACACTCTTGTCACATACAGTACATGTACTCAATGGTATGATTTCACAAATCACACATCAGTTTAGTCACGGGGGAGAGTAGATGGAGGCAGAGAGGCTGCTTTTAAGCAAACATGCTTAGAACATACGTTCAAAGTGCCGAACGTATACTTTCAGTTGATCTAATTCAATCGTAAGTCTCAATCTTTTTAAATGGAAATCTATAGATATTAGTTATCAGAATCAGAAATACTTTATCGATCCTTTCGGGGAAATTGCTTAAAGAGCAGGAGCGACCGCAACAGGCTGCATGCACACTAAGAGTATGGAGGAGGTTTCAGCATGCAGCAGCCATTAAAAACAACAGTTTCAGATGGTCTCATTGTTATTTTGATACAGTACAACACAGAAATAGTGGTGGAAAAACTGTGTTTGAGGGCAACAGTAAGGTAGCTTTCATGACACAACAAGTATTCTGTCCAATCACCTTCCTGCTAACCAGACTGCCTTACACCCACCACTTTACACACCGTTTGTAAATGACAGGATGACAGAAAACAATTAAAATACATCAAAGTGCAGTTCCAGTTTTTCACAACTTTGATCTTATTTGCATAGTTTAATCACAGGCAGAGGACACCTGGACAGGTAACCAGTCTATCACGGGGAGAACATGGAGACTCCATGTAGAAAGATCCCGGGTGTCCTCACCGGGACACCAACCAGCGACCTTCTAGCTGCGAGGCAACGATACTAACCACTGAGCCACCTTGCAGCCTTTTTGTAAATATGAAGGTCCTAATTTCAGCTTCAGTGATTTGTAATTATCAGCGATTGTACACGAGTAAAACCATAACTGTGAACACTGTCTTTCATTTCTTCGAATGAAGCCGTGTAAAGTTTGGTCCTTTAAGCCCTGTAAGTGGCGTGTTTGTAGCACTTGGAATCAGACTTGTTCCAGCACAGCCCCCAGAGGACCTGGAACGCCACAAGCCTCGCTGTTTCCAAGATGCTTTGATCCAGTTGTCATCCATGAGCTGCCCTCATTACATCAGTCTCAGGATGTACAAACGCTATGCCAGAATGTACAGCAGGGTACTATTACACATCCTACTTCCTAGCCTTGATTGCAAAGGCAAGTTTGACTTCCAGTGCTTTTCCCTATCTTTATTATTAGATTTATTCTTTTCTTCTTCCTATCTTACAACCTTACTTTAACCGACAGGATAGAAGTACACAAATATGGCCCACGTTGTAACACTTGTGAATCATCCTTTAATCAATCTTTCATCTTAATGTGTAATAAGACTTGCCAAGGAATGTAAACACTGTTCATTGTCAGGAACTCAACTGAATAAACGAACGTTTGCTGAACCGATTTGCTGCCTCTTCAAAGCCCAGTGAACCTGGTGAAGAACCTCGAAATGTCAGTCGTTCTAAAAAAGCAGTTAAAAGTAAACGCCCACTCCCGCTGCAATGTATACCTACAGCATCTCCTGACATGCCAGCTTACTCATTCCCTCATTTTCTTGCTCATATTCTCTTTGTGTGTGTGTGTGTGTGTGTGTGTGTGTGTGTGTGTGTGTGTGTGTTCTCTATCTCAATAATTCAGCAGCAGGGATGGGGCCGGAGGAGCTGCAGGGCTCGCTGAGCAGCCTCGGCTAAAGCAAACAGCAGCTCTGGCTGGAGGCTCTATAGGTTTTTGCCGCAGTTGGTGCAGCGGCCATGCCTGTGCCTGCACCGCGCTGCCTTTGGTTTGTAGCCTATAAGATCTCATGAAAGCTGCAACATGCTGTATCGCACAGTTATTACTGTCTCAGCATGAATCAGCTCCAGTTGTTGATACAAGGCTTTTTGTCATAAGGCATCATTAAATATTTACTCACTCAGGAGCCTGTAATGTATTCATGGCTGCGTTTGACGTCTTTTGTGCTTTGCAGCTGTTTCATTTCGGAAAAGTGAAAGAAAAAAAAAAGGCCAGAACAGAGAGCGGTGTTTTCTGTCTTTACTCAGCTGAGCATGTTTGTTTCACACTGTGGCCCACGCACAGGGAGGAAACATGATTGTAGCTCACACAGAAGCCGACAGAGCTCTTAGGAACGTCCGACCATCTCACTCTGCCTCAGTGTCTGTCTGTCTGTCTGTCTGTCTGCTGTGGTCTGATAAGCCTCAGTAGGTTTTGTTCCATTATCATCAGTTAGGAATCCATCCCACCACAGACCAGATAAAGGCAGACCTCCATATTCTCATAGACACACACACACATTTAAACATGATGTGGTGCAGTTTTGCCACCACAGCCCAGATAGGAAAAGATTGGACCTGATATATGTGCTCATTTGAGTTGCCTTCACTTACTACGTTGCACTCAGAGAAATTAGCATAATGTAAAGCATAGATTGATGTTGGGGCCATGCTGCCTGTCAGGTACATACTGCTCTGCCTAGTGGGTGAGGGTTTAAGGGCTGTATGCAGCCTGAAAGGAATAAGATACGACTTAGTTGAAACAGGGTATCGAGTTTAGAAAAATCTATCAGTCTGTATTTTTATTGACAGTTATTGTTGTTCTTAAACGTATAGAAAGTAAAAAGTATAGAGATCTATAAAGGTAGCAGTGATTTTAAGTTGCATTACAGAGCAGAAGTTTGCATTGCCTGTTTTTGTTTGTTTTACTGACATTATTATAGAAACACATATAGTAGCCAGTTTACTTCTAATTGACTATGTCCCCTTACTCCTTCAACCAAACCTAAGCCCATGACCAGGAAGAGCATTTCCTCTTAGATTCTTTTCATTTTTGTCCCAAAGAAATATGCAATTATATTTTAATTCTTTTGGTTTCAAAGCGGGCTGCAGGGTGGGGCAGCAGGTTAGCACTGTTGCCTCACAGCTAGAAGGTCGCCGGTTCCAGTGGGGCCACCAGGATCTTTCTGCGTGGAGTCTCCATGTTCTCACCGTGCAGCGTGGGTTCTCTCCGGGTTCTCCGGCTTCCTCCCACACAGACTAAAAACATGCTGAGGTTAATTGGTGATTGTAAATTGTCCGTAGGTGTGAATGTGAGTGTGCTTGGTTGTCTGTCTCTAAGTGTAGCCCTGTGATAGACTGGTTACCTGTCCAGGTGAACCTGCCTTCACCCTGAGTCAGCTGGGATAGACTCCAGCCCCCCATGACCCTAGTGAGGATTAAGTGGTGTATAGATAATGGATGGATGGTTTCAAAGCGTTCCTTGTCCGTCTACCTGTCTGTGGGGTCATCAGTACATCTTCAGATTCCAGTGACTGTCTATAAGACTATTAGTGCTTGAGATACACTGTGTGTAGTGTTCGGTTAACATCCTGTGCATGAAACCACAGGTGGTGAAAGACTAACATCATCAAAGGAACTGATCGAAAAGTGCATCACATGCAGGCACAAGGTTATTGGAAACCAGTATTCAAGAAAGGTGTCTGTTGATAAACACTCCACACGTGTTGTCTCCATTAATGATCACTTTGACTGGAAAAAACTTGAAGATTGAAATATTGTCTGTAACCTGCTGAATAGTGCCATCTAGTCATAATAATATATGTCTTTTAAGGGCCTTTATCAGCTTTCACTTGTTATTTTGTAGCTGGTTCCCTCACTCGTGTCCCTCTCTTCGTATCTGACCCTCTCCTAGCAGTGAGTAGATTAACATTAAAAAGGTTTTTGTCTTTTGTCCACCATAAAGCATCTACATAGGACGCCCCAGTGGCTCTTCTCTCAAAGCACACCTCGGTCAGCTTTTAAATCACAGTTCTGGTAGCATCCAGCATAATTAGCAGATTGTCTAACACTAGCTGCTGCTGCCCCTCCCTCAACCACGCCACCGTTATGTCTTCGAAGCTTTGCTGTTGTCATCTTGCTAAGCTCATGTGTGTTTACATCCATCAAGTGCTGTACCCTTATGTGCTGCAAGGATTAGCACTCCAGCAAAATCCTCGCCGCTGTTCAGATTCTTTTGAGCTCCCACAAAGAACAGAACCTTTAATGCTAAATCTAACTGAACTACATGGTAGCTAATGAATGTGAAAGTATCACACTTAGAAATCCCTTCAGTTAACCACATGTGCATACCGAGCAACCCCGTGTTCTGTTTGGTACCTTTGAGAGTTCATCCACTCAACAACAGCCAAACAAAACACAGACAAAAGATGAATATGTTGTGTTGTTTGTTGCTCATCCAGCTGCCTATCTGATCTACAGCCCATTTTGAGATCTTTATTGATCTGAATCTTAGCCAGGTTACAGTAAAGCAGGGAGGTGTGACTCTGGGTACAAACGTCTGCCTCTAATATTATTTCTCATTAGACTTGTGACTTTTCTGTTTCTTTGCTGCAGATGAGAAAGAAGACAACATCCTGGGAAGTATCCTCCTACCCAGCTTTCACATCTCCATGTTGTCGGTGGATGATCACATCAGCAGGAAATACGCATTTAAGGTAAACAGCAGTCCAGTGGCAAGTTAAATTGTTAAAACTAATACATACAGGAAGAATCAAGATGTAGGAACAAGTAAATAATGGAATAGAAGGAACAACCTGTTCAGTGAGGTGAAAATAATATCATGTCTTTCTTAGTATAACCACATGTTTCCTTAAAGGTTACCTCAGTAGCTTCTAATTATCGCTGATGACAGTTCATCAGACTCGCTGCCTGAGTGCTGCTCATTTTTATGGATTTTTGTTTCCAAATTACAGCTCAGAATAAGAATTGTTTACTCAAGTGCTTCTAACCCGACACTATTCATGCACTGACCTCCATTAAATCATCTAAAATACAGAGATTGTTGTAAAAGGATGAGTTCACCAATCTGGGATTTGTTTGCGATGAGAACACGGAGGTCAGGTGAAGACATGCTTAGCCCCAGCTTGGTATTAAGCAAATACAGTTTGCCTGGCTCTGTCCAAACTGGGGGAAAAAATGTGTCCACTAACACCTAAGAACTGGTTTGTATCATACGATGTTCAACCACACTGGAAACCAAAAGCGTTCCAAACTGGAAGATGGTGCGAAAAAATGCTCCTACATCTACACAATTTCTCTAATCTGTGCACAGAAGAAACCTTTGTTTGGTCATGTGCTGTAATTCTGTCTTGTGTGGGGTCTCCAGCTGTAATGTTGGTTGTCAGCGATAGTGAGTGAGCGAGTTTTTTTGAACACCTGATTTCGCTCTTTTAAAACTAATTTTCGGCCCACACCTGCCTGAGCTCTGCTGTGCTCCAGTAACTGAGTAGAGACGAGAGGGTTCTCTGTGCAGAACCACCCAAATTCTGACTGACGTCATGAAAGCTGTAGAGAAAGCATCATGCACAACAAAACCAAACACACGGATGCAACCCTCAGTGCTTTCTAATGGACACAGCTTTGCCTTTACTGAGAACCTTGAAGAATTTCACTCTTCTGTGTTTATACATTTGAGCTGAAACACACATGAAAAGCAGGCAGGGAGCACACACACATGCACACACAGTTATTGTGTACACAAACGCTCTTCCAGCAGAATTTATAGAAAGACTCCCTGCTGCTATTTCAAAGTCATCATCCAAATCTGCTTCTCACGCGCTGTTTTATCTCCTTCTCTTGAACTGTGTCTTCTCCTCTCTCTCTCACTCTATATATCCTCCCCCTCTCTCCCTCCCACCGCCAGGCCACTCACCCCAACATGCGGACATATTATTTCTGTACCGACACAGCCAAAGAGATGGAGACCTGGATGAAAGTCATGACGGACGCTGCTCTCGTCCACACTGAACCCGTCAGAAGGTCGGTGCTTGCCACAGACACACATGATGAAACATGAGATA